ATAAATAAACTTGCCTTGCCTTGCCTTGCTAAGGTAACCCCTGACTCATGCTAAGTAGTTTAGCCAAAAGTAGCCAAAAGTATAGACCAGTTACTAGGCTTGACAGGATTACAACAGGGACTGAGGTGAATGCAAGTGAAAAAGATACACAAAAGATACAATTTACAATTTCAACAATACCAAGTAATAAGCTGTCATAACAAAGCAAACAAAAAAAAAACAAAAACAAAGTCCTATTGAGCTCAATATTTCAGTTTGTCCTTTTGGTCATTAGTCAAGTCAAGATTGCTTTTTATTTCAGTTCTGTTATTGTTTTGTTACCACTTTGGTGTTTCTCGGTAGAAAAGAATGAAGTTCTTTAACAAGGGTTCAGTTCAGTCTGGGCACCAGCTCGCCATCTCCATCCGGAGAAAATCCAGGAATCAGCTCAAGCTGCTTTTTAGACACCAAAATAAATACAAGATGAGGTATCATCGCGAACATAGCAAGGAACACAGTCACACGGCCTCTCTAGCTCATGCTCCTATCAACAAGAAGACCCCTACTTCAGCATGGACTGTCTGCAGCCTGTCTTGTTTACTTCTTAAAGTGCAAAAGACCTAGCTAATACGTGATGGTGATCCTCTGCTTGGAAGGCGGGATGAGCATTGCTTCTAAACAAATGAGACTAGTATCACCCATCGCGATCTGTGAAGCAGGAAAATAAAATTAGAGAGAGGATTGCACCTCTTTTCAAAACAAGTATTTTTTCAAGTAAAAGTGTGAAAATGCATTGATACAAATAAAAGGGAGAAAGAAAAAAATTTGAAAAATAAAAGAAATTTTCTCAGCTAGGTTACACTAACTTCTTGGCTAAATGCTTAAACAATGTCAATGGTCAGTTCCAATGTTTACTCTGGAACAAAATTATTATGATTATGTAGGAACAACACCAACACTGAGAACTCGATTGGACTGGACTTACCTTCAATGCACAAAGTCTGGGTGATCAGTGTACAATCCACTGTTGCCATCTGTAATTTAAATTGAATTTCTTGATATTGCTAATAATGGATGATCAACTGAGAAAAGTTGGGATATCTGGAAAGAAGGATCACTTAGCATTATATTGTTTAATGATTACATTACTCGTTGCTGTTATTTGATTTATTTGTTTATGCATCTTTAATTATCAGGGAAAGATGGCTGTTCTTTCTGGCCATCTGATGATAACCAAAAGGTGGATGCTATCACAGTAGAGACAACAGCCTATGCTCTCCTAACTGCAGTTCTGCTTGGGCATGTGAAAGAGGCTGATGAAATAGCCTGCTGGTTAAACTCCCAAGAAAACTATTATGGAGGCTTCAAGTCAACACAGGTGATTAGGCTCGAGCCAAAGAGTACATCTTTGAATGGAGCTCCTGTTTCCCTTTTTGTCTGACATCATATATTCACCATCAGAGTAGAGATATTAAATATTATATTAATAAGTTCTTACCATTCCCAGGATACCCTCGTGGCCCTGGAAGCCCTCGCGGAGTATGAGCTAAAGAAATCTGCCAGTTCTGAAACAAGAATGAAAGCAGAGTTCACATCCCCAACAAGGAATGAAATTGTAACACTTCAACTGGAAAATAAGAAGGAAAGAGTGGAAACTGACTTGAAGGTATCATAAAACAATGCACTCAGACATATCTATATAAGATTAAATCCCATTCTGAATTTCTTTCTAAATACATTTTTTTGTGTCTGTTGTTCTAGAAATTTACAGGGAACAAAATCACTGCAAATCTGACTGGAAAAGGAGAAATTAAGTTTAAAGTATGTTGGATTCACTTCTTTGTTTTTATATTATGAATCAGATCTATAATTGACTCTAAATGTCCCTTGCAGATTGTTAAGGCTTACCATTTATTGGAACCCAAGGATGAATGTGAACATCTGTCAATCAGTGTCAGAGTGGAAGGGAAAGTGAAGTACACTGGTGAGCTTTTGTAACTGCTAACAAATCACAACTACTGATAAAAGGCACACACTTACATTAATCTTTGTCTATCTAGCTCCGATATTAGAAAATTATGAATACTATGACTACGATGATGAGAAACAAGACCAAGAAGACCTGGGACGAACATCCATTGAGGGGTCTGATGCTCACATCCGATACAGGAGAACTGTTGACAACATTAGTCCAAAAGAGGCTGTTACCTACACTGTCTGTGTCAGGTTAGTTGAAAAAAATCCACATCACATTTATTATTTATTAATATACATAAAAGAAAGAACTCTCTTTTCCTTTCCGTGGCCATAGGCAGAAGAGCAATCTTACAGGAATGGCCATTGCTGACATCATATTACTGAGTGGATTTAAGGCTGAAACTAAAACTTTGGAGAGGGTTAGTGGGTGTCTTTTCTTACTCTTCATCACTGTCTCCCTTGCTTGCTCAGCAGGAGCAAGGGAGGACCACATCTGTTTTAGTCACCAGTGGTCCTGGTTGTCACATCTGGATGCTGATATCAAAGGAAATAAAGGGCACATAATAAAACAAGTCATTATTATTAGGGCACAAATCAGTCCTGCAGTCAACGAATACTTAAAGTCCAATAATTATAAACAGCAAAAGTTCAGACAAATAATGTCATATTTTGGAGGAGTGAGGGCCCAAAAGCAGACTCTACAGGTAAACAGATGTAAGCAAAAAGTTAACCTTTTTGGTTGATAGCAAACTCCAAATAAACTAAAACTAGCATAGAACATGTAGTGAACACAACAGTAAAACACAAACAACAGTAAAACAATTTAAGTACACTCAGACACAAAAGGGCAATTAGGGAGGAGTGGAAACATGAGTGTACCACAGCTAATCAGTAACAAGAAAACTTGGAAAGTAAAACTAAATACAAAGCAGAAGAGACAAAGGACTATCAAACTAAAGCAGGAAGTAAAAACTGTAGCTCAGTAGAGAATGCAAAGACATGCATGAACTTAACAAAAGTTCAAATAGAGGGTGACTGGGGTGTGATGTATAACAAGCTATGATCATCATGCCATCATGTTCACATGAAAGAGGCATCATGTGTTTGCGTCATGTGATATATTTCTTGTGTCATTTTTTATCAGTACCACTTGCACTTTAGGAACAAATGGTAACACCTGGATATGTTTAATATTCTGTGATTCTGTGAATCAAGGTGTTTAAATCATTTTGTCTGGCATGTAGTAACGTTTTAGCCTTTTTAGCTGCATTTGGACACAGGCAGTATAAACACAGATTTCAAAACTCCAAATACACTTATTTTTAAACTGACAATCAACAAGAACAAAGCTTCTTTAGGCCTATAGCCATAAAATTGCTTTGAAACATCTTACAGCTAGCAGAAAAAAGAAGCAAGGAATGAAGTTCCATTCTGTAATAATCAAGGTTTCTCATTGATGCTTGTCAGAGAAGGAGAAAAGCTTCATATGATCAAACAAAAGACCATATATTAGCTGCGTCCCAATTCCTAGGCCACATCCTTTGGAGGCCACATTTGAAGGCCGATTACGTCACAGCCAGGCGACGAAGGCCATCCCAATTCGAAGGATGCACCAAATGGGGCAGACAAATGCGTCCTTCATTTTCCCTGATTTGAAAGATTGGTTGGGTGTATCCTTTGTGGCCCAACCTATCCCAGAATTCATAGCGCGCCCAACCAATTCCAGTTTCTAAAAATGGCGGCAGCTACTTAGTTTTAATATTACTCTTTCTGGTTCACAAAATAAACCTTTAAGATATTTTCAGGCGAGAATGTAGCTGTGTAAACTTCAAATATCTGCTCGATTAATCAAGACATCACATATTTGCAAAAGTCTGTTACCCCACTGGGAGGTCGAGGCTCACTAGAACCAGTGAGAACACTGGACTCCCAGCACATCACTTTCAGCTGGGGAAGGAAAAGGGAAGGGAAATAACTAAATGGAAAGATAACACACATGGACATGAATAGATAAAATACAAAGGAATAAAAGGAAATCAAAGGTAAACTTCAGAAACTTCCCTTTTGCTATAACGTAGAATCAATTAATTCTTGTCTTCTCTAGCTAATGGAGCCATCTGAGCAATACATTTCCCATTTTGAGGAGTCTTTTGGAAAAGTTCTGCTCTACTTCAATGAGGTACTGCTGAATTCAAATTATATACAATAATTGTACTTGGCCAACGCTGAAACATTTTTTAAATCTCTGTAGCTTTTTAAACCTGAGGAATGTATTAGTTTTGAAGCTACACAGCAGGTACCGGTTGGTCTTCTACAGCCTGCTCCAGCCTCGTTCTATGATTATTACGAACCAAGTAAGATTTTCATTTCAGAAATTTCTGTATGTATTTGTTAGGAAAGAAGGGATTTTATTATCAGGACTATTTGTGTTTTTCCTGCAGATCGAAAGTGTACTGTGTTCTATTCTGCACCGCAAAGAAGCAAGATGGTCTCCACGTTGTGTTCGGAGGACGTGTGCCAATGCGCAGAAAGTAGGAAAATACTTTTACTGTTCAATCTTTATTAGGGCCTCTGTCTAATCTGAAACATCTAAATCTGGAAAACACTGAAACAGTCAAATTAATTTAACTATCTCAGCTGAAACTATCTTTATTTTATTATCAGTGCTGTTTGTAAAGTATAACTCAAAATTAGATGAAATTTTCTTTAAATTGCTTTTGACACAGACCACTAGCCTAGCCCATATTTGTGATTGGGCTGCACAGACTCTGTTGAAACTCCTTTTTCATTTAATGTAAGAAAGAAATTTTTCACAGGGCTCATTAAAGGTGCACCTAAATACACCCACATCAGATGAGCGAGACATAAATAAAGCCATAGTGGCTCAGATGTCTCCAGAATTAACAAGGTGTGCGTCAGGTGTTGAGGTACCAGGGCATACTGATGAGAATTAGGCTACTAGGACAAAGCATAAGTTGATAAGGGATGATAATAGAGAACAGCTGTAACGCTACTATACATGTAACCCTAGTGAAAGAGGATATGGGACCGATGAATTCTTCATCTAGACTAACATTCAAAACACTGGTAGCTCAGTGTTCCAACATTTTCAAGAAGCAACTGCTATTGCAACTAGAGATTGATGAGATACAACACAAATGCTATAGCAAGGGAGAATCAGGATATCAGGTTAGGAGGGAGATATCATCATCCCCACACACTGAGATCAGGTATCAAGAAAAAACAGGTACATTAAAAGCCAGAGCAACTGACCTGAAAGAGAAGATCCTGGCTAAGCTGGACCCTCCATGAATGAGTACCAAAACTCTGAACGTCTACCATAAGATTTAATCCAGAGTTACAGAGTATCCCTACTGTGACCATCACTGAAATCAACCAGGTGATCTATATCACAGCAACAGTTATCATTCAGATACTTGGCTACAAGATGAAGGGCCACAAGGAGCAGTACCCTGTATGGATAAGGAGACTAGAGGTCAAGATAAAGGTCAGTTAGGGTCTAAGAAGTAATCCGAGGCCTGCCAAAAAAATGATCCCAGCCTTGGCTAACCCCTTGATGAGGTAGAACACAGAGATAGAAAGCAGGAGAATAAACCAGCTATACTCCACTGAACCATTCAAGGAGTACTCCCAGTGGCAGGGGAACAATATGAGAACAGCCCCATTCAGCCTGGAAATGGAGGGAAACTAGAAAGACATATGGGAGAAGGATGCAACACATAACAACAATGCTTAGTGGTTAGTGGGTCTAAAAGCAGCCCACAGCAACCTCCCTGAACAGGATTACCATAACCAAAGTGTCTGTACTGGAACATCTGTGCTGAGTAAGACCTGAGGTCAAAATGTGATGTGCCCCCTAAGGCAGCTGAGAATAACCAAGCTAAGATCCTATCAGACTAACAAACTGGTGATGGCTAAGCAGCCGGACAAAGTAGTAGTGGAGAAGCAGAGGAAGATGGCTGCAGCAATAGATCTAGCTATACCAAGTGATAGCTACATCAGGGAGGAAGAGCACGAGAAGCTTGAGAAATGCCAACCTGAAGGCCACATGAAGTTTGTAGGTCTGTAGATACTGACTCTGCAGAAATCAGGCGACCTCTGTGCACTCGTGCCTCAAAATCTGCCAACCCCACACTGTGATTTGACTGCCCTACCACTTTGTGGCTGAATTGCTGTTATTTCCCATCGCTTCCACTTATAATACCAACACTTGACTCTGGAATAGTTAGCTGCAAGGGCAGGTGCATCCTATCATGGTACCACGCTGGAATTAACTGAGCTCCTGATAGCGAACCATTTGTTCACAAATGTTTGCAGAAGCATGCTTAGGTACTTGATTTTAGATACCTGTGACCATGGAAGAACACCTGAATTTAATGATTTGGATGGGTAAATGAATACTTACTATACTGGTAATATAGTATATGCAGTAATATATACTGACCGTCTGTGAATGTTACTGTTGTCTATGAATGAGAAATATTGATTTAAACCCAAAATGCATCATGACTGTAAAATCACCCTGCTGTGTATTCGATTATCATGCAAACAATGAATGAATGACATCTATCAATGAATATTAGATAGTGTTTGAAAGCAATTAGCTTAATATGTACACATTCTGACAAGTATTTGTGAATAAAAGCATTCCAGTGCCTTATTAGTTTGATGTATAATTGAAAACTCACTCATGTTCATTCATCTTTTTATAGGACCTTGTCATAAACTACAAGATACATTCAATCGAAGAAGAAGAATTAGGAAGATTAACCGTGTCCAACATGCTTGCTTCTTCCCTATCGTAGATTATGGTGTGTATTCTAAACAAAACATTTATTTGCATCAAATAATAACGGTCTGCTATTATGATTTTTAAATATTAATCATATTAAGCATTTTTTTTGTTTTGTTTTCCAGCATACATTGTTGAGGTCTCCAGCATTTCTGTGAAGAGTAACTTTGAGCTGTACACTACTTCTGTAATTGACGTTCTCAGATCAAGTAAGTGAACTAACTACAAGCCTTATAAGATGCTGTAAAACTGAATACAACTAAAACTGTTGTATTGTATGTTTCATTATGTTTATTAAAAAGCTTTCTTTAAATATTACGATTATAATGAATATAATTTATTGAGTCTAATCCTTCTGCTAGATAACGATGTGTCAGTGAGTGAGAACTCAGTCCGAGTGTTTGCTAAGAGGGTTCACTGCAAAGGAAAATTACACTTGGAAAAACAGTATCTCATCATGGGCAAAGATGGCACCACAAAAGATTCAAGTGGAATGTGAGTATGTCAGTGATATTAAGGAAAGTGTGTTTTCGTAAAATGATTCTCTGGTCAACCATTTTTTCTTTTTATAGGATGCAGTATCTGCTGGAATCAAACACGTGGGTTGAAAAGAAGCCTTCAGTAGAATGTAGTACAAGTGTCAATAAATATGTTTGCAAGGAGTTTGATAAGTTTGTAGATGAGTACAAGGTGGATGGCTGCAGACAGTGAAGCAACCTGCTCTCATTTTCATTTTCATGCAAGTCAGTTAAATGAATTTCCCATCAGATACAAAGTTAGCATGAATGATATGAGTTTCTGTTGTTGCTTTTACTTTTTGGCTTATTCTACTACCACATCACATAATTACACATGCATGTTCTGCATATATCTAGTGATTTGGCTTTTCCTTTGCTCCTTCTAAACTGCTTTAATAAAATATCCTGCATTCAAAAAGTCAAAATTCTGGACATTCCCTTTTTAACCTTTTGTGAAACAGCAAAGGTAAAAACCTATGTTTTATCATGACATCACTCAAAGGCTTCTCACAGGTTACTCTACCATTAAAAGTTAACAGATCCTTGAGGCCTATTAAAGACCACTAATTTTCATTATTTAGTTACCAAGCGCACAGATTTAGAAGAGAGCTGCTGTTACGCTGACAAGCACGCAATCAGAGGGAGCAGGATCAACATCAGGAGGGCAGTTAGAGCTGGGTGAGTATCCTTCCTGCCTCCATCTGACCTCAGTCTGCCTACTGGGTGATAATCATAGCATTAGAGATTATAACTTTTTAAACAGAGACCCTATTAACTATTAGCAAAATCACATACAGATAAACTCTGTTTTAGCACCCTGTAACACTTTTAACATAAAAGGCTGGATGTTAAGTCCTTTTACCCTCTCTCAGATCTAATGAGAGGTAATGCCATCTTTCTTAACACTAGCTACCCATGAATCAAAATGGTATAAGCTTATGACTCAGTCATGTTGTGATTTAACCTTTAACCTTTAACCATTTATTTATATGCAAACGTTCTGTGTTTCATTTAAATCGTCTAATATTGAGCAAATGACATTGCATGTGTATTACAGTACTAGTCCAAAGGAGCAGTAATACACACACAAAGTAGCAGGAAACAGAAGCAACTGGAAAAAAGATTTATATTTATAGTTTAAAACAATCTAATTACCATAATGATGTTTAATTTTGAATATCATGAAGTGCCTTGCTATATTTTGGAAAGAGATATAAGTGAACTACTCTTTTTCGTATTTACCTTATTATTCAATTCACTAATTAATACACACATAAAGACCATGTGTCACGATCTGAGGAGACAGACCATGCAATGGTGCGTGTGGTGGACCCAGGTGCGAACACAAGAGAGTAGACCGGAGTAACTTAAACTGAAAGCGAGCCTTTATTATGGCTGAAGACAGGCCTCAAACAAAGCAGAAATACCGTGACAAAACTGAACTAAACTAAACTGGGAAACGGATACTGATAAACTATGAAGACTCAGAAAAGCATGACGAAGACTGGTTGTGAGGACATGGAGGGTGAGAAACACAGACGACACGACACAGACTGAATAAAACACAGAGACTAAATACACATAAGGGATGATCAAGGAAAGTGGAAACACATGAGGGGGAACAGCTGATACACATGAACCTAATGACAGGACAGGAAAAGTGAAACTACATACACTGACATTAGACACAGACTTCCAAAGTAAAACAGGAAACATGGAGATTAGACGTGATATGAACTGAACATAACCGAACAGACATGACGCATGACAGGTAGATTCACGAACCAGGGAGATTGCGTACAGGAGGAGATGACATAAACACTAAGAAACAAAGGACAAAGGAAAAAAAAAAAAAAAAAAAAAAGAAACAAAGGACTAAACAGCAACCTCAAAATAAACTAGATGAACTAAACTAGGCCACAAATGAATACAAAAGATACATAAAACTCAAACACTGGGTCGCTCGACCCAGGACCATGACACCATGTCCAGCAAGTGTGGAATAAACAGCTTTTTTAACTATTACAAAGAGATGACAAATACTCTATGACTGCTAAAGAAAAAGAGAACAATTAATCTGTATTCTTCAAATAATTTGTAAGCCATTTAGTTTCAAAGGTAGCTAGAGGGGGGAGGAAAACAGAAAAAACAAACATGATTTCTTGTAAACCACATGACTTGAGGGAAATCTGGCTTCAACTGACCAATGAGGAGATGGTTACACATTGTGAAACAGGAACACTTTCCAGGCTGCAAGCCAAGTAGCAATGTAAAACGGACTTTAATAAAATCAAACAGCTTGTTGTCAGAAATGTTGGTCTGGTGGTCTATTGAAACCTAATGTGCAAAGTTAAAAAAAAATATAGATTTACCCAAATCTATAATTTTAATAATTGACAAAAAAAACACATTGTGTGTTAAACAACAGCATGCATCGAGCAACATGCTATATCTAGCAGTATTAAACTGTTATCATATTATGCCTTGAGTGTTTATGCATGCATTTTTTAAAGTTTTGTAATTGGTTTTAAGTTTTATAAGTCTGTTCATCTGCAGCAGAAAAAAACAGAGGGAGGGCATTAATGAGATTCAGATATTGTGAAACAGGGGTGAGTGACTTACAAAACAGCAGTTAATCTAAAGTCTGTGTCAAAGCAGGCAAAGTAATCAAAGCGGCACGATGAAGTGCCACATTTTTGTGATACTGCTGCTGATATGGATCGCGGAGTGTTCAGCGCAAAACAGGTAAATTTAGGAAGAATGAAGTGTAATGCTTTAATGGCTGATATCTACTCATTTTAACTGATATATATAAATATATAGAATTAACTAAAGTTTTTGTCTTCAAACAATTTCATAACCTTGCAAATGAAAAAAAAATCATATGTTAGTATTCCCATATTTATTTCCTAATAATCAACTTGACTTAATGTAAGATACGCTCAAATATGCAGCACTGCAGATTGCATAGTTATCTAAAAATCTGATTATGTAAAACAGATTAATAAAAGATACAATGTTCACTATCTTTCATTTTTGTGTGCAGATTCTTCATCTCAGGCCCGAAAGTCTTTCACGTGGGCGTTAATGAGAAAGTGTTTGTCCAGATGGGACCGGGCCACCTTAACGAACCTGTTAATCTCTACCTGAAGGATGAGATCTCTAGTACTGTTGTGTCTGAGATGAAAACGGTTAGGTGCACTAAAGAAGACAAGATTGAAATAGCTGAGCTCAAGGTATGCAGACTTCACACTCAAACAAAAAGCAAACAATAAAAGACAGGACTGAGATGTTACTACCCACTTTACCCTAACTTTATAATTTACATCTTTACAGCTAAACATGGATTCTTTGTTAGGATTGCCTCAAATTCCTTCTTACGTTATGCTCGTGGCAGAGAGCCAATCCTTCACACCCAACACAAAGTTAACAAGGGTTCTGGTGTCAAAACACAGGGGCTACATCTTCATTCAGACAGCTCAGCCAATTTATAACCCAGCAGACAGAGGTAAAAACAAAGTTTAAAAAAAAGAAGCAATTCTACAGACTTTATCTAACGGTGAACCTTTTTTAAAAAAAAGACATTTTATATTCCTTTTATGTTATCGTTCTTTTAGTGAAGTACAGAATCTTCACTCTTGACCATACGATGAGGCCTCATGAGGAACCTGTCCACATATCAGTAATTGTGAGTTATAATTATTAATATTATATATTTTCTTTATAAATGTCTTTGGTAATACAAGTTTGAAAGACTGAAACATATTCACTCTTTCTTGTCTTGGTCTGTGTTTGGTCACTCTATGACAGAATGCTGCTGGAAATAGAATAATGAAAATCATGAAGATTGCAAAGGGAGGAGTACTTAAAGACTCATTCCTCATACCTGACGTTTCTGAGTAGGTTACAAATTTACAATGAAAGTGAAGATGTCAAGGAATTTTGACGCTTACTGTACTTTGTTGTTCGTAAAGAACAGGTACTTGGAAGATTACTGCACACTATGAGGGTGATGAAGCAAATGCTGCCTTCAGAGAGTTCAAAGTTCAAAAATTTAGTAAGTTTACTATAAACTGATTCGTGCAATTGAGATCTTTTTTTAAAATTCACAGAAAGTATCTTTTGACTCTCATAACTTATTTACTAACTGTAGTTTTACCAAGCTTTGATGTGAACATCGTAATGGATCCGAAATATATTTTGCTGACCAATAAAGACCTTCAATTCACCATCTCAGCAATGTAAGTGCTCATTTTACTTCCATTAAACTAACTCTTTCTTTGCAAATTCATGTCAAGAAAATGTTAAAAGCTAAGGCTTTGGCATTGGGGTGATTTTGTCAACATCTTATCAGCAGGATGACTTTTAACAAATAGAACAGTTTAACCATTTAACCAAGTCATTACCTGACCAAGGGCTGCCAGTATTCAAATAAGCACACTCATGGAATGGAAAAACAAAAAAAGTAAGGGAATCTGCAAGTCTACTGTAGCATGATTTGTTCCAATGCTAAATGTAGTTTTTGGGGTTCTGATGGACTCCACCACCCGCAGTACCTCCTGATCCACGTTTCACTAGTTGAGAAAAAAAAAGTTACTCTGAGCTAAGCTTTTAGGGTTTGGTGTAATATTAGAAAGTTACCTCACAGCTACTCTACAAGGCGTTCAAATCAAACAGCATGTCCCTAAAATGCCTACAGTACATTGTTTTGTGGGGAAAATGAAATTAATGTCACATAATGACTCATTATGACACATGATGGTCCTTGCAGCCTCTGATCACTTACCAGGTGAAAACTTGGAGTTTGAGATTGGGCATTTTCTCGTCCATAATTATTTCCTATGCAGGGAAAATAGTAAAACTTTTTATTAACTTGGATTCAGCAACAAAAAATATTCACTGCTTGAGTCAGACCGTTTAATGCTTGGATTGACTGTCTCAAGTGTAAATATACTATTGCATTTTTAGACTATCTTTGCTCCAGTTAACAGTTGTTTTCTTTAGGTACACACATGGTGAAAAAGTTAAAGGTGCTTATCACTGTCAGTTTGGATTTGTAAAAAAAGATGGCTCTGGCGGTCAGGAAATGACTTTTATCAAGGGACTGGAGCAGACCGGTTCGGTGAGGAAATCCATCCAAAATTCACAATCCGGCTAATTTTAAAATGAGTAACAAACTGCATGTCATTATCTTTTCATTTTATCAAAACTTCTCTGTTTCTTGCAGGTCAAAGATGGAAATGCAGAGGTTTCTCTTTTGTTAAATGAGACAAATGCAAAACTTCAGAGCCAGCTGAAAACAACCCTCTCTAAGATGCAGGAAAATGGAGATCGATTGTTTTTGAGAGTGTTTGTCACAAACATACAAAGTAAAGGAGATATTTACATCCATCAATATATCTGAGTTTGTTTTTGGTTATTTTATTTGAAATCATAGATATTAGAGAGTATTTAATTGTTGTAAACAATGTGGTGAAATAGGTGGTGAAATACAAGAGGCAGAAGTTTACCTGCGAATCTTCACCCACAAATACACAATAGACCTCTCTCGAACTCGATCTCATTTTATTCCTGGATATCCACTGGACGTGGTGGTATGTCTGAAACTAACACATGGGAATAGTTACACAAATTACTGTAATGCTCTTTAATATAACAGTTTTCTTTGTTTTTCATATAGGTGCTCGTGCGTTTGCCAGATGGCTCTCCAGCAGCTGGTGTGCCAGTAAATATTAATCTACCACCATCAGAGCCTTGGGAAGGCACCACTGATCAAGAGGGGGCACTGTTCAATACTTTTAATGTTAATGATAAAGCTGATATTACAGTTGAAGTTAGTATCCCCAACCTTATTCAAAGGTGATGTTTAACAGATTTGATTCCAGTTTTAACTGTTTGTTCATCTGCCTCCAACAGGTTTCTACAAATGGATTACGAGAGAGAAAAATAATACGACGTGCTTCCTCTCAACATGACAGCTACCTTTACATGACTTTAACCAGCAGGATCTACTCTGTGAATGAATTCCTTACCATAACATTCAACACCATCAACAGCCCACACAGTGGATATATACACTACATGGTCAGAAATATCTGACTAAATGCAATATTGTGTATTCTCATAAAGGAGCAGCATTTTGTCTTGATTAAACACTTTTTAATTGTCTTCGTTTCAGGTCTTAAGCCGGGGAATTGTAGTAAACACCGGCTCACTCCCACTTGGTATATCAGCTAAACACCGACTGCAGATAACACATAATATGGTTCCATCGTTCCGTGTGATTGGCTACTATCACAACACTAACGGTCACGTCATAGCTGATTCAGTGTGGGTAGATGTCAGGGATGAATGTGAGCTAAATGACAAGGTAAGTAAACAGAACAGATAAAAGTGCAGCACGAGAGAGAAAGCAAAACTATTTCAAATGTGTGCGCTTAAGTCTGTTCATTCTCATTAATTTGGATCCTTTTTTATTGTTCATTAACCTATAACTTCCATAAGTATTTGGACAAGAACATTACAGGACACTGTAATATGTCCTATGAATATTAGTGAGACACACACACATACACACACACAAAGGAAATAATAATACAAGTCCTTCAACATTTTTGTCCAATCACACCTTGACTTAAACCTTGATATCTACAAATATTTAACTAATATTTATCTAATGGAAGTGTACGAACATAGCATATGTTTAAATAAATTAGATTTACTCTTGTCTACATGTATTTATATTGATATAATTATTTGATTTTGGTTTTAGAAGTACTATTTGAATTTTACTTGACTGAACAAAAAAAGATCCTGATATATCTTAAATGTCTTAATTTAGTTACCTCAAGGGTCTCTTAAAGGTCGACCTAACACAAAGTTAAAGATAGACTTTGATTTACATGGGAACAGCGCAAAAGTGGCTTTGCTGGCTGTGGATAAGGCCTTCTACGCTCTCAATGCTGACAATAAACTCACACCCAAACAGGTTACAGTCCTACACACTACTTTCATACTTATGGTATTTTTTGTCATTTATAGGTAATCATAGTAGTAAGTCTAAGCTTTTCTTCTCAATTGTCAGGTATTCTCTACTATGAACTCATATGATCTGGGTTGTTCCTATGGTGGAGGACCTGACTCAGCATCAGTTCTATTAGACAATGGCTTGGCTGCTGTATCTAATGACCAGTTTCTGTGGAGAAAGGGTAAGAAAAAAAAAAGAAAAAGTTTTTCTTCATTTAGTTAAAGGAACATTAGGTTATTTTTTGAGGTTATTTAATTGATTAGTGTGTAATTATATCTTCCACCAAATTGATGACTCCTTGAAACTTTTTAATACATTATTGAAATAATCCAATAAAATATACATAGGAGCGGGCACAGCTCTGTGGAAGCCACCATGTCGTCCCATTATCCTGAATACAGTAGCTGAGATGGACAGGGCCTTTCTACTTGGTTTCATTTTATGTATGCGATTATAGCGAGACTAGCCATTTACGTAGTATTGCCTATTGCCTATAAATTTTTATCAAGATCACAAAAAGCTCTTTCAAACTTTATATGACTATTCAACATTTGTACTTTTATATCTATATCATGTCCTTTTCATAATGACTTTCTACTCCTACTTATCTGCTTCCTCCACAATTGCCCCGTCCTTTCATTTCCACCTCATTATCTTCCTCGCACCAATTCCCGTCTCCTGAACTGAAGTCAGGACCCTAACACACGAAAATGTGAAGAAACATGCTTATTTCCTCTCGACATCCAACCATAAACACAACACTTTCCCATCCATCCATACATACATACATACATACATACATACATACATACATACACTCTCTTCCGCTTATCCTTTTCAGGGTCATGGGGGGATGGGGGCTGCTGGAGCCTTTCCCAACTGTCTTAGAGCAAGAGGCAGGCTACTACCTGGGCAGGTCGCCAGTCTATCACAGGGCTAACACATGAAAACAATCATTCACACTCACATTCATACCTGCATTCACATCTATGGGCAATTTAGTTTCCAATTAACCTATCCCCACTAACTGCATATCTTTGGACAGTGGGAGGAAGCACTTTCGCTTTTCCAAATTATTTCCTACAACCACAGCTAATAAGGCAAGGCAAGGCAAGTTTATTTGTATAGCACAATTCAACAACAAGGTGATTCAAAGTGCTTTACAGAGACATTAGAAACAAAAACAAATAAAAAGCATGATTTAAAATTGATTAAAACAAGCAAACAAACTAACTAATTAACAAACAAACAAACAAACAAAACAGTAT